GGCGCACCCAGTAGTCCTGCGCGACCACAAGCGCCTGGCACGTCACCATCAGGGCCAGCGATATGCCCCAGTACCAGCCGCTGCCGCAGGACCGCAGGTACACCCGCCAGACCGCAAGCTTGACGCCGCCCTCCTCGCGCTCCTCGTCCTCGACCAGCGCGCCCACGGGCGCTGCCTGGCCGCTGGGTGGGGCCAGGCCCTTCTGCGTGGCAGCCAGCTGCAGCCGCTCGGCGTTGTAATCGTCCTCGGTCCGTTCTGCGCCGGGTGTGATGGGCGTGGTGGGCGTGGTGGATGTGTCGATGGCGCCGATGGCGCCGATGGCGTCGATGGCGTCGGGGGCCGCCTGCGCCTCGGTGGCGTCGGGGGCCGCCTGCGCCTCGGTGGCGGACAATGCCCCCAGGTCCGAGAAGGCGCCCGTCTGCTGCTGCAGCTCATGCGGCGCCCCGCTCATCACCACCTCGCCCCCACGCATCATCGCGACATAACTGCAGTGGGGCAGGCACATCGCCATATGGTGCGACACCAGCACCCTCGTGCGCCCACGCATCAGCCCCGACGACCCTCCGCCAACCAGGCACTCGGACAAAATAACCCTCGCAGTATGCGCATCGACGGCCGAAAGGCAATCGTCAATAAGCAGAATCTGCCGCTCAGAGTACACTGCGCGCGCCAAAGCCACGCGCTGCTTCTGGCCGCCAGACAGGGTCACGCCGCGTTCGCCGATCTCGGTCAAATCGCCGGCGGCCAGGATCCGCAGGTCGGCCTTCAGCGCGCACACACGCAGGACCTCCTCGTACCGCGATGCGTTGTACGGCGCGCCAAACAGGATGTTTGCCCGGATGGTTGCGTTGCGCAGCCACGCCTCTTGCGAAACATAGGCGATGTTTGCGAGCCTCATGCCGGAGTCGGTGCGGCTGCCGAGCGCAAGGCTGCGTGCGGGGCCGGTGACGGGGAGGAGGAGGTGGCCGCGCGTGAGCGTCATTTCGCCCACCAGCGCCGCCAGCAGAGATGACTTGCCGGCGCCTGTGGGCCCGCCGACCAGCGAGAGCCGCCCGCGGGGGAACCGCACGTTGAGGTTGCGCAAGCCAAAGCAACCGGGTGCGCTGGCCGCGTGGCTGAGCGTCGCGTACGACTGCGTGTCGCGCACGCGCCCGCCAACCAGCGGCGTCAGCTCGCCAGCGGAGCCTTCGGCTGGGGCGGCAGCGTCCTCGGCTGGGGCGGCGGATGCGGTGGCTGCTTGAGACCCGCATTCCCATTCCAGATCGGCACCCACAAAGCCCAGCTCAATTCCAGAACCAAACCCAGGCCCAGACCCAGGCCCAGACCCAGACCCGGGCCCAGACCCAGATCCAGGCCCAGACCCACACCCAGACCCGGGCCCAGATCCAGATCCAGGCCCAGACCCACACCCAGGCCCAGACCCAGGCCCAGACCCACACCCAGATCCACACCCATCCACGCGGTCCTCCAAGCGCTGGATCTGCGGCTGGCGCAGGTATTCGTCAATGCGGCCCAGCGACACATACCCGCCCACCACCCAGTTGAGCATCCCAGGCAGCCGCTCAAACACCATGCGCACCTGCTGGAACACCGCAATCGCCGTAAACGCCACCTCCGCCGTCAGCACCCGTTTGAACCCCACAACGTACACGCCAAAAATAACAATCAGCACCAGCATCGGCGCCAACGTCGAAACCACCATTATGTACGCCCAACACAGCAGCACCCGCCACATATACGCCAACTGCCGCTCGCGCCGCTCATCTATGCGCGCCAAAAACTGCGACTCCCATCCGAACAGTTTCACGGTCTTGATTCCCTGCAGCAGCTCGGTGATCGCCGTGACACGCTGGTCGCTGAGTGCGTTTAGTTTGGTTTCAATCTTGCTCACGTACTGGAACATGTGCTTGGACAGGGGCGCGTAGATGATAGCGATTGACAGCCCGACAAGCGCAGAGATGCCGAGGAGCGCGTACATGTACCAGATCCCGATCAGAAGCATCAAAGGCATCGAGTAGATGCTGTCGAGGTACGCGGATACCTCGGATACTCGCTGGAAGTCCGCCGTCAGCAGATTGACGATCTTGCCGTCAGCCGCGGTCGCCGCCGCCGCCGCCGCCGGGTCAGAGTCTGTAGCAGCAGTCTCGCTGCCATCGACAGAATCGCTGGCCCTGGGCTTGTCCTCCCTGTCTGCCTTGTCCTCCGATGAGCCCCCCTTTCCGCGGCGCTTCAGTGTAGTTGCAGCCAGCTCGCCGACCAGCACGCCCTTAAGCCGGATACCCACGCGCCTCCCAATCCACATCGCCTGCTGCGACAGCAGCGACACCAACACGGTGAAGAGCAGTAGCCCAAATGCATCCAAATACGCCCTCCTCAAGCTCACCTCGCCACGTGCATCGTGCCTATTGTGCCTTTTGCCGTCGCCTGTTGCCTCTTTGTTGCCCAGAATACTGATTGACCGCAGGATCCGCTGCAAGAAAAACGGCCCTGAGAAATGCAGCACCGAAGATGCCAATGCCAAGACGCCTTGGAGCGCGAGCTCAGGCGCAAAGGTCCAGAGCAAAGCGATCAGCAGGGAAGAGCGGCGGCCGGACTTGCCGTGGTGGCCCAGGTACTTTCTCCAGTTTGGTGCCGGCATATCCATGGCGTCCAGCTTGTACAGGTCCTCGGGGCCAATCTGCCGCGCGACTCCCTTGGCTAGCAAGTCGTTCAGCCAGGAGAACGTCAGCCGGCTGAACCACGACGCGCTGTACTCGGGCGTGTCCACCAGATCATTTTGATCAACCGTGCGTGGCGGCGTCAACGGAGTGCGCTCCTCCTGCTCGTCCTGCCCCTCATCGCCACTAATGGACACCGCGGTAGTTTCAGAAACCGGCTCGGCAGCAGCAGCATCGCTATTGCTGTTTACATTGGAGTCCTGTGATTGGCGAACAAAGTACGGCCGCTGCTGGACCATTGCATATGCCAGAACCAGCGCTGCGCTAAGCGCAGTCGTGGCGACCAGCATGTTCGACCGCACGGACGCCTGTCGGCCAACCATCGGCACAGAACCCTTACGGGGCGTGAAGAACGAAAAGTACATTTCGCCGCCGCCCACCAGCACCTGAACCGCCGCCAAACCAGGTGCTACCCAGGGAAACAGCCCGAGATGCCGCAGCCGATCACCGCACAGATACATCTGGAAAAACACACCTTGAATTGCCAATGCAACCACCGAGATCAGTAGCAGAAGCAGCAGGAAACCAGGGAGGGATCCTGGGTGGTCGTCTTTGGGGCTGCTTTCGTGCTGCCACCACCCGAGAAACATCAACGTCTGCGCCAGGGTCATGGATATTATCACACTGCCTGTGCGCATGCGATTATCGACCATCTCCACATGGGCTCGTGCCGGCCGACGCACTGGCAGCGCAGCACAACGCCCGGCGGATCCGAGCACCCGCCACCCATCGCTACCGCTACCACTGCGTATTGACTGCAGGATGCCAAGGGCCAGCACTAAGAGTGATACACCGATGGTTGATTGAAGAACCAGCGGCCAAAGGAGTTTGCTACGAAATTCATCGTTGAACAGAGACCAAGGCCCGCTGATGCTGCTGCCTGTGTTGTTTGAATATATTGTTGTTAAGGTGTACAGTGAGTATATGCCTGTGGTTGTGGATACAAAGCCTGCTGTTGGTGCTGCTGTGCGTATTGACGCAGTGCCTGTCATATTGACGTGGTGGCTAAAATGTGAAGAAAAAACACCAATTAGCAATTAAGGAGCAAATGACAAGGGAAAAAAAATTAAGGAAAATGAAAGAACAAAAATAAACGGATTTTTTTGGTTTCGGGGATTTTTCCTAATACATAAATAGTGGGGTGGGAGGGGGAATAGACAAGATGGGAGATCAGGGTTTTTTCAATTAAGAATGTATATATTTTTTTTTTTTACCTTTGTTTTGATTTTTCCCTCCCCTCTTTGAAAACATCTGATCAACCTCAATTACTATATTTTATAAAAAAAATTATACATGTTTCCTTTATTTATTTTAAAAAAAAACCCTCAAAAAAATACTTGGAATAAAAGATAAATAAGAACCTTGTTATTTTTAAATTATAATTTTTATAAGCGTTGGGCAATAAGAAAAAGCGGTGCAATTATGCATGTGTGTGCGGGGGTGATAATTTGTGTGGGAAATTTGAGGAGGTACACAAAGTCAACAATAAGACAGTGTAATGCACGATGAAAAATGTGGGGGTGAAGAGATACTTCATTTCTCCACTTTTTTCCCTGCCTAAAATGAAAATCCTTTTTTTCGGAGGAAATGGATAAATGATTTGGTTTTAGCGCCTAAAACATAAAGTTTCTCGACATTCCCTGGATTAAAAAAATGACCTTTCCATTGAATAATTCCATAAAGTGATTCTGTAGAGCGATTCCATACAAAATTTTGGGGTTCAAATATTTTAGATTGGGGTTTTTAGGGGTTTTGTTTATTGGAAAATGCTATAAAAAAAGTCTATAAAATGGCTAGTATTTAGCATTCCCTGTACCCACACCAATTCCTAAGCACCATTGCGGGCTGGAAATAGCAGGGAAGCAGGGCGCTGGCCTTTGGGCTTTTTAGCTACTTAAACTAGTACTGGTGCTAGTGCCAATTCCAATCCCAGTGCCAGTGCCGGTGCGTGTTATTGTTTTGAACGCGTTGGATATAATAATCCCTCGCGAACACGATAAAATAGATGGGACTTTTTTAGTTAGTTTTAGTTTAGGAAAATATATTTATATACTCTTTGTAAAATAGTTCTACCATTCTATTTTTTATTTTTTATCCCCATCGGTGTGGAGGCCCTCCTCAGCCTCTGCAAAATGCACTGTCCCTACTTTCTACCAGTTCTGCGCGAGCATGTCGTCACCGTCCACCATATTAAAACAGCCACATATGAACTTGCACAGTATGTATTTTTACAAGAGCTAGATAATGAGGGGTTTAATATCGTCAACTATTTAAATCAATGTTTTTAAGGAGTGTTTCATTACCCTTTGCCTTGGATATAAAACAAACCATGCAGTAACAACCTGAAAAACGCAAACGGCAAACTCGTTAACAAGCACAGGCACACGTTCGTCAGGGATATCAAGTTTGAGTGCCCACATCTCATTGGTGCGGCCAATGTTGCTAATTGCGAGGGTACAACAATTCTTGCACCATATAAATACCATGTGTCTCAGTGCTTTAACAAGCAGTTGAAACATATGGTCGACATAACATTTGACATAAAGAAAAGGACTAAACAGCGGCACGAGATTCTTAAGAGTGAGGATGGCCATACCGAAAAACAAATACAACAATGCATTAGCAAGGATATCAGAATTCCAGCAGGCAGGATGAAGTGGGCTCTGCTGTGTGCTAAGACCAGCAAAGACAGCAAGCAGATCGACACTAAGCACATTTCCAACCCTATTCTCCGCGACAGGATGGCGCGCCCAATTGAGAGCTTCTTTGGCGCATACCCTGAGGGCTACAGTTTTGGCGACAAGGAACTAAAGTATAATTCTGTAGCCGAGCCAGTAAACTATTTTGGGGCTTTTGTTGAGATGTTCCAGTCTTTAAATCCCAACAAGGCTGTGAAGACAATTTCCCTCTTTCCGATGAGGACGTCTATTGTACCGGGGTTTACTACAATCGACAAGACCATTCTTGCAAAGTTTATTCTGTCCGTTATAAAGAGCCGACTCAGAGCGCTGCACAAGGATAGCCTTTGCCTGGATATTGAGATTCCTGAGATTCCGCGTCTGAGGGACCTTGAAGGCAAGTCACCAGAAGAAATTCGGTCACTCTTTTGTGATATTTCATGTTGGCCGGTTTTGCTCGATTCTCAAAATGACAAACAACCGCACAGGTTTTGTGGGATCATTTTTACTGATGGCGTTGCAATTACCATATTACTAGACTCACCCGCAAACATACAGAGGAAGAGTATCAAGGCTGAGAGGATTGCATGGTCTAAGAAAGGTTCTGGTGATGCTGACAATGGCAATATCCATGACAACGACAACAACAGCAACAGCAATGCCGGAAAACTTGCCAATGGTGTGCCCCACAGTAAGAAGACTCCTCCCGAGTAGCTCAATACTTTTGACAAATCAGTTCTCTGTGATACCAGTCGACAGGATATGTTCTATTGTCTGGGGTATAACAGAAATTACAAAAAGGATGAGGAAGACTTTCAGCCATACTAAAAATCATGAGGCTAAAAGGCGTCGTGAACGTGTTTTTCGTCGGATCCGCGAAAACGAAAAAAAAGTATTCCAGCTTGATCCTATGAAGCTCGCCAAGGCGAAAACAAATGCTTGGTAATTAGACCCAGGCACGACCCGTTACCATGAGCCAATTCGTGGCAAGGGGCTGTGGGAGATGCTAATAGGCCAGGGATTCACTGTTTATTTGATCGACGAGCATTGCACCTCAACGTTTTGTCCAGCATGTGAGAGCAGGATAGAGAAATTTTACAAAATTGATGATCCTTGTCTGAAGAATCCCAAGCACAAGTAACACGTTGCAATGGCAGCAGCAGGACCAGCAGAATAGTCAGCAGCAGAAGAATGGTCAGCAGGAGCAGGTAGCCGCAACAGGTGTTAATACAATTCCGGCAGTAGAAAAACCTCCCCAAATTTTATGACACGGCTTGCTCCAGTGCACAATGGAAGACTGTCTGCAAACCTTCAGGGCCGACGGAACGTGGGTTGGGGATGGCGAAAAAGTGCCATCAGGCAGACGGAAATGGAATAATCGCGACATAGCTGCCATGTTGAACCTTCGAATCATTCTTAATGCCCTGCTTACAGGCAATCGTCCTCCCCGTTTATTGCACAGAAAGGCATTGCCAAAGTTGGCTTAACCCAAGTCTACAGCGACACCCGAGGCTTTGCTCAAGCCAAAGCCAAAGCGTGTGCATAAGAATCCACCTGCCCCTTTTTCTTCTCTTCAAAAGAAGCAGCAAACTAAATAGTATTGTCAACCATAATGGTGGTCTATTGTCTCTAGTTTCTAAACACTTTTTAGGTTGCTAGTCACTGGGGGAAGGATGTCAGTTTATAGTATATTTGTAGCCTCATTCTTCTCTTATATAGTCTGACTTTACAACTAAATAATTCAAATAAAAAATACCTGCAACTTTTAATCAATGTTTTTTTTGTTGTTCAAATGATGTTAAATCAGAATGTAATTTATTCTCACACTTATGCCGCACAATGTACAGGAAATCGACTTGCTATTGTGACTTTAATTTTTTTTGCGCTAGGGCTTAAATTGATTAAGCATCTATTACAAGTAAAAAAGATACATGTGCATATATTAAATCCATACGTGCTGACATAACAATGTCCAAGTAAACAATAATGTCTGAAAAACGCTTGAATTAATTTAAAAATGAGTCTTAAAAAATAAAAGATGAAAATATAATATTACTTTCATTTTTCATTTTTGTTTATCCACCATAAAACAAAAAAACAGAGGTGTTTGTAACCAGTTAGAACAATGTGCTTAATGACACAGCAGCGCTAATAAGCACAGCCTTGGACACTCTCGAGACATCCCACACCGACCCATCGGCACCCGAAGTACTAGAAGATGACGACCTCTTTCCAGAGTTAAAAGATCCACTCTCAACCTCCTCTTCATCCCCCAAGCTATCATTCTCCTCCTCGGACTCATCCTCGTCATCAGACTCCGGAGACTTGCCCACACTCTTTGTCGAAGACACCGTCTCCGCATTGTGCATGACTCTCGCAGCATTTCCATTAATAGCCACAACAATAGTCGGCCTCGCCACCGGCACATCCACAGTGGCCACTGACCCCGCATGCGTACTCACAACTCTCGTCGGCTTAAACTCCTCGCCATTATCAGCGCCCGGGATCTCATCAGCGAGAATCGTCGTAGGCCCGATTTTCTGCGCATTATTCACAAAATTATTAGCCCATCCAGAGTCATATTTGGTCGGCACAGCGGTGACGCTGAGGAGCTTCAGCAGGTAGCTGTACTCTGCCGGTACTTGCTCCTGAGCGAGCTTAAGGTGGTTGTTGAGCTGTGGTTGGAGCTTGGGCCAGGCGGAGGAGAGCACTGAGAGGTAGTCATTCATGTTGTTAGCGGGTGCCACGGAGAGAATTATGTCTGCATAGCTCGTTGCCATTATTGTTAGCAGACTGGCGAGAAGCTGTGGTCTCATTGTAATTTTTTGTATTCTTGTAGAGAGGAGAGTGTGAGAAAAAATGTGACTAGTATGTAAAAACTAAAAATAAAGTTAAAACTGTGATGATAGAATGACACGCGAGATGAGGAAAATAAAAATAAAAATAGAATAGCAGAATAGCAGAATAAGGTTCTAAAGTATGTAATGAGAGGAAAGGAAAGGGAAGAAAAAAAACAGCAGCAGCAGCAGAAAATGGAAGAGGAAATTTGGGGGGTTATTTACTAGTTTTTTCGACTCGTAATTTACCCCCTTCCGAACAAGAAAAATAACTAACTGAACGAAATCAAATGCAAAGTCTGACCACTTCTTTTTGAGCCTTTTTGGCACTTTCCATTCTTCTTTTCCTTTTTCCCTTTTTCTTTGTCTTTTTCTTTGAATTTAACTTGATTACAAAAGAAAACTGAATTTGTGATCACAATTTATTAAATAAAAGTGAACCATGAGGATTGACAATCAGTCCCCAATTGTTTTGCATCCTGGTTCTTTTCTGGAAACTCATGACAACAATGCAAAAAAACCAGTCTAAATGACACAATCAATCGCGTTGAGTGGGCAGCAGTGGCAGCAGTGGATCCAGAAGGATTTGCCAAGACAAATAAATAAACCTGCTTGAATTTGGATGATTTTCACACTTATATTACAGCCAAAAAATCAAAACAACAAACATATTGAAAACAATAGAAATTGTACGAACCAAACATTTTTGGTGACAATTGGCTTACGTGCAACGTTTATCCTCAGTATGTGCATTATTTGCGGCCAATTTCTCGCTACAATGCCACTTAAAAAAGCTATTTTGGAGCAAAATATTTATTTAGCAGTAATTACGCAGTATTAGAGACTAATCGACAACAGTCGACCGCTTGAATATTCAAAACCTCGGTACAGAAAATAATACAATCAAAAAATTCACATTTGTAACTAAACAGCCACACGCTTTTGTTATTACTAACTTGCGCCTTAAATTCCCCATGACACTTTATGAGAAATCAAATAAATACACTCGTCGTTTACATTGGGCTCTCCAACGACTCCGAATTCAATGCTGTGTTCTTCTGAAGAGTCAGTTACATTATAGCACATGTGTCCAGTTAGCTCTGTTTTTAACCTTATAGATTCAAAAAAGCCTATGTTGAAAAGACTGCTTTTTTATTAAGTTTCCACCAGACATTTGTTACTTCAAGGTTTACCTATGCCGCTATATCCTTTATTTCCAATGCCACTTGCACTTCCGATGAGTTTTATGTACATGCCAACTCCATTTAAAAATAAACAATTGTTTCCACCGGCTGTCTTCATGTAGTGAATTTATAATAACTTGGCATTTATTTATACTTTATATTTTGCATACAATTTACCAACACATTATAATGACAATAAAAATGGTGCGGGTATGTTTTATTCAAAATATTGAAAATACAGCCATTATTGCCGTTACAAAAAAATTAGCATAGAGATGGGAAAATATTTTTTTATTAGTTGACATGTAGAGTCGCTTGCCGTTTTTTTCTGGCCTTATTAAATATTATTCTTTAAAAATAATTGTAAGAAAAAACACTGCGCACAATTGTATTTTCCACAGTCAAATGACTAAAATCCATTATAAAATTTAAAATTTAAATTTGACATTTGATTTTTTAAGAAATTAGTTAAAACAAATATCGTTCAATTTGAATCAATATATTCCAGAAAAAATTATTACGTAGATATGTGCCAGTCACAAAAACACAGTACAACTTTTGTTATGTTTTGATATATTCAAAAAGCGGTTGCACAATACATTCTGACTGATGTTTTCTATTTTGAAAATTGTAGAATCCAAGTAACCGCGTGACCATTACATTGTAACTATTTTTCAGCCAGTCACTGAAAATCACAACAAACAAAACTAACAGCCCTAACCCAGAAAACAAGCTGAATCAAATGACTTACTGTGTTGGGCAGCTTTATATGTGTAATGTTTTCCGTTTGGTCTAAATAGCGCATTCGTTTTGCTTGTTT